TAGGTGGTAGCAAAGAATTAAGTCTCTTTTATATCTTTGTGCTGCCATCTAGTGGTCAGTCCTATCCCCATCAGGTTCTCTGTCACCCACCACCCCTCACATCCTGTGACCAGTGAGCATGCCCTGGGCTGTTGGGCATCAGCTGATATCTCCATGTTTGCACAGGTATAAAAATAATCACTCAGAGCTGAAGATGGGAAATAATAATGCCCTGCATAATGGAAAAAGTAGTATATGTTAATTAAAAAATGAGAGGCAAAATGTATCTGGGCCTTTCGCCCTTGTACTTAACCAGGTACACATATGACCAAGCAACATCTTTTTTCTGCTGTGTTCCTATGAAGTTGACTTCATTTTGTCCCCAGCCCATGAGGGAGACAGGCTTAACGTATCCATAGTGGTACGAAGTAGCATTTCCCCCCTTATTCTAATACTGTCTAAGAGCAGCCTCAAGGTATTGTGTATAAAATTTATCATGCTTTGCCACCTGCCTTGGAGAGAAGTCAAATGAAGTCACTTGAAGCAGAAGCAGATAGGAATCAGCAACGGGGACAATCAATTTCACTTGGACATATTTTTCTGCTGATTCAAAGATGGGTCGATCGCACTTCAGCAGCCGCGGGGAAAGACCCTTGTCTGGAAGCAATGCACTCTAATTGACATATATTTGAGGACTGATGGCGGTTATCTCCTTGTGACAAAAAAAAAAAAAAATCCCTCACCCCATAACCTTGCACAGAAAGGTTTGCTTTATAATTCCTCCAAATTCACACATCCTAGGTAATGGGTTTTCCAAATGGAAGACATTGTGTCTGTGTTATGGGGCAACCAATGCAATTTTGGAAGGTGAGAATTTGTAGCTATGTGAGAAAAAAAACCAAGCAAACCCTAAGTCAGTTTCAGAGTGGTTAATGTATGAATTGCAGCTTTCTTTAATGGGGTAGAATAGTGCTGAACAGTCTGTAAAAAAAATTAGGAGAGTTGACTGTATCATTTGTACTTACATTAGTCTCCAATAGTCTAAACCAGTGTTTCTCAACCTTGGGAACTTGAAGAAGTGGGGGACTCACACCCCCCCAACTCCCCCCGCGCAGCGTTTGGCGAGGGGGGTTCGGCATTTTAGAGCCCCACCCTTTTCCATTTCCCCTGGTAGGAAAAA